ACAATGTATGGCAAACTACATAAAGAGAGTAACAAACAATAAAAAATAAATGTTGGATAAGACCTAATGTCGACTAAAACATATCTTAATTATTCAAAAAGTAAGGGCTAGCACAAGTCTTTGATAAAGTGTTACAATCGAGTTGGCTAATCACAAGTTTCGGTATTTTTTCTAATAACAAAGCATTCCTTTATATATCTACCTGTATTTGCGTTGTGGGAACCATTACATGTAAAGATATATGCAAATCTGTCTACAACATCGAGAAATATATCCATATGATCTACGGAACACCATTTCGGTAGCTGGAAGCCGAGGGCAAATGTTTAGTTAATGAATGGGGCAGCTTTCATCGGGCCCATTCGTTCCGTGTCAACAGAGATTAAATCTATTATTCCTGACTAATGTAATTCCTCCCCACGCGACTCTGGAGGGCTCTTATCATAAAACAGTTGTTAAGACCAGGAAAAAATCAATTCATTCACTGATATATTTGTTGGACATCGGGAGCTGCAATCTCCCTTGAGAGTCACTCTATATAGAGTGTAAACCGTAGGGCTAAATGTCGTTATGGAGGCCTGGATGATGATAAAAATCAGCTGTTTACACGGGTAAAATCATCCGTTTTATGCTAACTTATAACTCAGTCTTTTCAGAAAGACTGAAATTGGTGCAATAATCGACAAATAAATCCTATTGCACAGACGTGTTCGTAACAATCCAAATTTATCGTATCTTCACAAGACGTTCAAAAAACTGAATATCCCATGCGGCTTTAGAATGGAAATGCCCCCCTCCCCCTAATATTGCAGACCGGAGTAGCAAAGCAGTATTGTAAGTCAACAAGGAGACCAGTAATTCATGTCGTTTTTCTAAGCCCACCTGATAACCGTGTCCACCACTTTCTCGATGATGGTGAAGAGGCGTTTTATTGCTCTTTATGGGAAACCGTTAAGACGGCCTTTGATGTCCATCCCTTCTAGCTTGGCCCCAGTAATAGCTTAGCCAAGGGGTCGGCGGAAGGTTACTGCTTTCTTCCTCAGTCAGTATGTGTGTTTTTTTTATCCAGAATCAAGCTGCAAGATTCTGCACGAACAACTATCAAAGGGGCGCTAGTGTAACGTAAATGAAAAGAAACCTACAGTAGAATGTCCAGACTGTGCATGATGTACAAAATGACTAATAAACTAGTGGACGTACCAACCACTAAGTATCTGAAGAACGAGAAACAGTCATGTCTTCAAATATCAGAGTTATCAACCAAGAATTGAGGTATTCAAAAACTCGTATTTCCCCAGAACTATCGTAGACTGGAACTCGCTGCCACCAAGCACAATTGGGGCATCATCACTAGAAAGCTTTAAACAACTCCTGCAATCAAATGTGCAAAGATTGAGTGTAACAAGTCGTTCGGTGTGATATAGCTAGCTGCCACCACGCCGTGTGCCTGCGAAGCTGGTGTGTTACGCCGAAGGGCGGTTATACCGGCTATACAGATACAGAAGCTGGTGTGTTACGCCGAAGGGCGGTTATACCGGCTATACAGATACAGAAGCTGGTGTGTTACGCCGAATGACGGTTATACCGGCTATACAGATACAGAAGCTGGTGTGTTACGCCGAAGGGCGGTTATACCGGCTATACAGATACAGATAAAGATACACTGTCTCATGCCTGCTGCATACCGTTGTGCCACCAACCATTCATATCCCATATCCTCCAGGTCCCGCTTTACACCAAGCTTACTGCTTCCCTTCCCTTCCCTTCCCTTCCCTTCCCTTCCCTGTTGGGTTGCAGTTTGAAGCCGCCCTACCGCTATGGGCTGTCGAGATGAACTAGTGGATCGCAATGAATTTGCTCTATCCTCACCTCGTCCATGAATAACTTTCGTTGTGACGTATGTAATAAAGAAATTAGATCAGAGCAAAATGTCAAGATGCAAAACCAAAAGAGTAGATCTTTTGAGGGAATACCTTTTGTCATGAAGTTTTCTTCTGAAATGCGATTTGAGTGAAAACTGTTTGTTCTTGCATTGTATTTTGCACGTTGTTTAGCGCTAAAAAATAAATAAGCATTTTCTTCATTGTTTTCTTTGAAGCCTCGTCTTTGCAAACTTTTGAGTCTTTAGATCCAGCTCACCAGTCACGTAACCACAGTCAGCAAAGTTAATGAAGTAAAGCGCAAACGAGACTGGTTTTACTGGACGACAACAGAATCGTTAGAAAACCCGCCCTGAGACTAATGAAGCAGATCTGCTGCAATCGATTTTCAAATCAAATGTTCAACTGTACTTCCATTTCCGCCTAAAGCCCCCTGATCACCATGGATTTGGCGGTGTAAAATCCGCAATTTTCTGGGACTTGTCGGGGTTTTACGGAATGAAATAACGCAATCGTGAACAAAGCCATACGTTAAAGTCGTCCAAAGTTGGGTAAAACCCGTTAACCACCAGAAAAGGTCCATACATGACTCCGGGACATGTGAGTCCAAATGCGTCCATAGAAGAATTATCTGTGCAAATGTTAGACAAGATGGACTGAAAAGGAAAGTTAGATATTTGTCGAAGAGAAACGTATTTTCGACTGTAAATTTTTACACTCATCGGATTGTAATGATTTTATATAGGCTTAAATGAACGCATGGATTTTCTGAAGTATATAGAAAATGATTATTTAATGGGGCTAGTTATTACATGTCAGTCGCAATTGGTGTTAAGTATGCAAAGTAATTATGTGAAGGTGATCTACTTTCGGACGGCAATGTCAGTCAAGGTAAAGTATTGATGATGAGAGACAACAGATAGAACGAAAACAAGACATTTGGGATTTGGCACTCCCAGCCCCGAGAACAGACAGACAGAAAGCTCCTGTTCTGTATAACGGGAGCTTTCTGGCTAATTTGCATCATCTTGTCTTGACCTGTCTGACTTTTGTTCCTTTTTCGACTTCCAAAAATTTGTCTTCACTTTATTTGCATATCAATAAATAGTTTGTGCTTATAAACCTGCATTTCCCCTCTGGTCTCTCAGTCACTGACGAAAGCTAGTGGATACTAGCTGAAACGTCTGACGTTTTCAAAATCATATCCAGTTGCTTGAGTAACTGCTTTTTGGAGTATCGTATTACCTGGATGTCTAACCTTCATCGACGAAAACAAGACATGTTTCGTAATGGATAGAACGCAAGATCATAGCTTTGTCTTTCTACCAGTTCGGCCGTCACGCCACGACCACATGACGGTCAAAATCACGTCTCGTATCATATTCTTTTTATGATATTAAGGGCTTCTCAAACCCAATTTAGTCGTCGTATAGTCAAAGCTCGATCACCGCCTTAGTGGAAAGGGAATGTTATGGACAGAATATGATAATTTGTCTTTCATTATAGTAACTATAGCTTATAGCTAAAGGGATTTGTGTTACAAGAAGACTTAAGGGAACAATGTTCCTTACATGTCAACACCTTAAGAACATCCTGAGTTGATGGAAATGATAGGTGACTGGGTGATGGAAATGCCACTTAGTATTTTAAAACAAACTAATAAGGATACAAAACTTGGGCCCGCCAAAATTAATTTGAACCATTCGTTCTCATTAGAGATTCGCCCGAATCGTCAAGATTGCTAAACTCATACATTTCTCTGATCTAATCTATACCTTACAAGTAAGTGTCTAATTAGAGACAGGGTTTTCTGATGGATGTACTCTGCTGTAGGCTGCTCGGTGATGCCACAGGGTGTCGCCGCCATCTTGTCTTTTGTGGCGTCGGGTGTTGTAGTGGTTAGAGCGTTCGACTATGAAGCGGGGAGCCCCGGGTTCGATCCCGTGTCATACCCGGGACATGTCTGGACATGCGCCCCGACGTTGTGCCCTTGGGAAAGGCACTTTACACAACCTTCCTCACTCCACCCAGGTGTAAATGGGTACCTAACTTCGGTTGGGGAAAGTCGTATTGAGGTCACCTTGTGGCGCCGAATGGCAGCCGCACAGACCCTTGCGACAGTTCCACAAAAATTAGTGGAACAAATATGTGGAACATCACATAATTGGTTATTATGTGATACCTGCATCAATTCAGCCGTAATAAAGGCTGCGACTGCACGGGTACTGTTTGGACAATAAAGAAAAACCATTTATTATTATTACACTGTGCCTTTATTCTTTTTCTGATTTTATTTTTTTTAGAAATAAAATCTGCCCTAGAAATGAAATCTCCCCTCTTACGTATTATACATATTTCATGAGAAGCTGAAAAAATGACGGATATCAAATATGATCATTTGTTTTAGCTGGCGAGGTCCATGCCAAGATAGAAATACCAAAGAATTACATATTCTATCTAAAATAATGTCATCAACTTTATTTACAATATCATGCCCGAAGGCCAATTGCTTTTACGATCAAGTATACTACACAGTGCAATACAATAATAGAAGACAACAACTGTCTTGAAAACTTCTACTTCTACTACTACGCTAGCTATTATGGGGTTCTTTGAAAATATGTATATATAAGTATTGACTAAACCTGCGAAGCTATCACTTGTCAGCATACCAACAACAAAAGGGTAGCATCTGTGTCCATAATATTACCAGGGTCCATAATATCGCCACCTTGAGAAATAGTGTGCTTAAAGATATTTTTACTGCAACATACCCTAGGTATGTACATTTGATGTGTGAAGGAGTGCATACCAAAAGTATGTTGCAGTAAAAATATCTTTAAGCACACTGTTTCTCAAGGTGGCGATATTATGGACCCTGGTGATATTATGGACACAGATGTTATATATATATATAAGTATTGACTAAACCTGCGAAGTTATCACTTGTCAGCATACCAACAACAAAAGGGTACATATATTAGTAAATAATGGTTTAATTTTAAATTCTTTAATTCACTTGCTAAATGCAATTTTTTAAATCCACATCAGCACCTGATAATACGCAGTGCACATTACTAATTGTATCAGATCTTCATTAACTTTTTTTACACAAAACAGGCTGCTCTTTGATGGCCCAGGGTGTCGCCGCCATCTTGTCCTCAACCTCCTGCTCATCTAACCTGATGCTGCAGTCTGTGTGTGACGTCATGCACGTACCTCACATCTTCGTGTCACGTGACACGTGTGACGTCACTCCGGACACAAAGTACACCCTGAGTATGAACCCAGCGGCGTTTGAGGTGGACAGAGCTCTGTCTGATATCATCAGGCAGCAGAGGTGGAGGACCATGGTGGTCCTGTATGATGATGAGCTAGGTATGTACAAAATAAAAATATATAATTACACACACATATAGGCCACATCGATTTAATTCTATGGATAACATCATCTGAAGACCCCCAAACTAGTGCGCGCGGTCAAAAATAAAAATGCTACTAAACCAGAGGAAAACAAAGTTCATATTGTGAATTCGCGGCAGTACTTAGCGACGTATACGACAAGCCGGCACTTGCTGGCTTTTTGCGGAATTTATTAATCGGCACTTTACGCATGTACTGAGTTCTTGAGTCGTTGAGCTTTGAATTCGATAGCTTGGGTGCTCGGCTCCGTATTGTCGCTAACTACCATGGACTGCCCAGACCTAGAGCCAGGCCAGAGCCTCGGCGGACGTGATTCTTTTTGAGGGCGACAATGCGCGCGTGGATGTCATCCATAAAATTTAATTGGTGTGACCACACATTGAATACAGAGGCATACACAAACACCCAATTACCTGTAGAAATGGTCAATAGTTTTCAAATAACTTTCAATAGGATATATTATGTTGTAGAGTCGGCATAAAGGTATTTTTTCGTGATTAGTAATACTTCTTCGAACAGCTCAGCTGTACTTACTCTCCAAGCACAGGTTTGGGTTTTGGGGGTATTTTTAGCGTGTTTTTAGGCTTTCTTTATCGGGGTTTTTTTTTTGCACCAAACCAAAAA